TCCTTCATGATCCATAGGAAGGATTTCTACTGGAGTCCTCATGCAGGGTGACCAGGTGCCTGGGACTGCAGCTGGATGAGCAGGTTGTCTGGGTCCATGAAAGCAGGCCTCTAGCCTAGTCTGCAAGAGCTCTTCTGCTCCCTGCATTCACAGGAATGAACTTTGAACCTGAGTATTTAGGAACTGTTCAGGTGCTGGGATGGCCCTGATAGTTACTAAGAGAGTAGCCTGGAGCCCATGTCTCTGGGTTTGTTATGGAGTCTGGGTCTGCAGGGGAGGTCCTAGAGCCTTTGATTTCCCTTTTCAGTGTACTGTAGTTTTCAGTGTAAAGATCTTTTACTTCCTTTGTTAGATTGATTCCTAAGTATTTCATTTTTTTCAATGCTCTTGTGAAAGTTGTGGTTTCCCTATTTTCCTCTCAGTAAGTTTGTTGTTACAAGAATGCTATTGAGTTTTGAGTGTTGACTTTATATGTGATTATATAACTGAATTTGATTATTAAATCTAGAAGTTTTTTGAAGAGCCCAAAAACTCCACCAAAAGACTTCTATGTTTAATAACTAAATCACTTTATCTTTGTACTATAACTTAAAATCTGAGTTTGAGATGCTTCCTGCTTTGCTCTTTTTGCTCAGGATTGTTTTGGCTATTCTGAGTCCCTTCTGGTTTCATGCAAATTTTAGGATTTATGTTTTAGCTCTGTGAAGAATGTTATTTAGATTGGGATTGTATTAAATCTAAATATCATTATAGGTTATATGACCATTTTGACAATACTGATTCTGCCTATTCAATAATAGGGGCTATCTTTTCCTCCTCTGTTGTCTTCTTGAATCTCTATTTGCAGAGTACTATAGTTTCTGTTATAAAGGTATTTCACTTCTTTGATTAGCCTAATTCCTACATAATATTTTTGAAACTTTAAGAATAGGTTGTTTTCCTAGTTTTAGTGGGTTTATTATTGGTTTAATTATGCTATTTATATTTATGTATTAATTGTGTACACTGAATTTGTTTATTAGTACTAAGAGTATTTTGGTGGAGATTTTTAGGCCTATTATATAAGTGATCATCTCATCTATAAATGAGGATACTTTGGACTTCCTCCTTTCTTCTTCATACCCTTTTTATTTCCATTTCTTTCCTGATTTCTCTGGATAATGTTCTGAGTATTAAATTCAATAAGATTAGTGAGAGTTGATATACATTTCTTGTTTTTGATTTTAGAGGAAATGCTTTTAATTTTTATCCACTTAGTAGGATATCTGCAATGAGTTCCTTGTAAGTGGCTTTTATCAGATAAATATAAGTCCTTCTATCCCTATATTTTTAGGGTTTTGATCATAAACTGATGTGGGATTTTGTCAAAGGTCTTTTCTGTTTTTGTTGAGATGATCATGTGATTATTGTGCTTACTTTTGTTTATGTGATATGTTATATTTATTGATTTGCACATGTTGATCCATCCCTACAACTTGGTCATAATGCATGAACTTTGTGCATTCCTTTTGTCAATATACTGTTGATGATATTGGCATCTATGTTCATGTAGCTTTGTCATGTGGTTTTCTTTTTATGTTAAGTCATCATCTTGTTTTTCTGTGAAGTTAATGATGGCTTCTTGGAATGAGTTTGGAATTCTCCTTCCATTTCAAATTCATAGAAGAGGATGATAAATAGTGTCACTATACCTTCCCTGAAGTTCTGATAGAATTCTGTAGTAAAATTTTTAGGTCTTGGCTTTTTCTTATGTGGTAGTGTATTTTATCCCTTCCCCAATTTCATTGACTGCTATCAGTCTATTCAGTATTTTATATCTTCTTGATTTTATTTTGAGAATCCATGCATCTAGAAATTCTTCCATTTTGGTGAGTTCTCCACTTATTGGAGTATAATTTTTCAAATAGTGTTTTATAATCTAGATTTCAGAAATGTCTATTGTGATCTTCCCTGTTTCCTTTTCTAATTGCATTGGTATGTTTTTTCCTTCTTTTCACAAGTTGGCTACTGGTTTATTAATTTTATTTTTATTTTCAAGGAACCAACTCTTTGAATCATGAATTCTTTGCATTTTTAATCTCAATTTCATTAACTTTTACTCATATCTTTATAATTACTTTACTTTTACAAGATTTGATCTTGAAATATTTTTTATTTTTTAGAAACTTTGAGATATATCATAACAATGTTTATTTAAGATTGCTTTATTCTTTAATGTGTCAATTTACAGCTATTAACTTCCCTAGTAGGATAGTTTTCATAGTGTACCGTAGGTTTTGGCATGTTGTGCTTTCATTGTCAGTTGACATTAGAAACTTTAATTTCTTGTCTAAATTTCTTCTGAGAACCACTGATCAGTCAGTAATATATTATTGAATCTCCATGTGTTTCACAGATTTTGTGGTTTCGTTTGCTGCTGTTTTCTACTTTCGTTCCATTACATTTGTAGGACATTTTGCAGCAGAAACACTAAAGGCCAGAAGATTATGCAGTGAAATTTTGCAAACACTAAATTAAAACAGTAGTCAAAACATACTTCTATATCCTGCAAAACTCATGTTAAATCTTGACAGAGAATTAAGGCTTTCCATGTGAAAGAAATCCTAAAGAAATACATTTCCATTAAACTAACATTGAAGAAAATAATAAGAGAATCCTAGGCAGGTGCAAGGAAACCACTAGCATTAAAGGACCCAAAGAAAATTATACTTCTACCTGGAAAGGTAGTTAATTAAAGCTAAAGTAAAGGAATCAACATTGGAAAAGCAATTAAATTGCAAAATTCAGAAAATAACTTATAACTCTTAAAGTTAAATGTCTTAATTCCTCAATTAAAGACACAAACTGGCAGATAGGATCTAAAAACAATATTTGATGTTATGTTCCCTGCAAGAAATACTCCTGACTGAACTAGAAGCACATAGACTAAATCAGAGGAACAGAAATTGCTACTTCATGCAACTAGTGTCTGAAAGCAAACAGAGATAACTATCTTATTTTTTAAGACAGAAGACTTCAAACCAAAACTGATGAGAAAATACAAAGGTGGCCACTGTATACTGGTAAAGGGAACATTTCAACAGGAGGCGATAGCAACCATATATATATATATGCACAAATGTTGATACAATGAACTTTATAAAACAAAAAGTACTGAATAGAAAGGAATAGGTAGACACTTATGCAATCATATTGGGGGCTGCATTAACACTCACAAATATACACAGGTCAACAAGACAAAAAATAATCAACAAAGAAATATTAGAATTAGACCACACAGTTGAACAAATGGGCTCAACAGATACTGTATCTACGGGGTGGTTCATCCAATAAGAGCAAAATTTTTTTTTCTCAACACCAAATAGAACTTTTTTCAAACAGACAATATGTTAGACCATAAAGTATACTTAAATAAATACATTATGTTCTTAATTTTAAAATATTTGGGTAATTTTAATTACCTTTTTTTGTTCTTGATTTGTTGATTCATTTAACTGTGTTTTTGAAACTTATGCCATATTATTTCAATACTGCAATACATTTTGAGACTTGATTCATGGTTCAATATATAGCCACTTTATTTTGATGGCTAAATGTTCTATGTGATCATGCAAAGGATATGCACAATGAAGTTGTTTGCTACAATGTCTTTATGCTATATTTTTTCATGCAAATTTTTTATATTTCTACTTATTTATGTTTGTCTTCTTAGTCTACTAATCACTAAGATAAAAATCTCTATTAGCTGAGTTTGCATCTCATAACTTTTAGTTTTGTAATTTTTTGGTTTATATATTTGAAAGCACGTTAGTTGATATATGAAATTTAGAATTGTTTTTCCTGTTAGATTAACACAATTAATGTTTATCTTCATCTTGTAGCTCCATAAGCTTACTATACATTAGTGTGTGTGCAGTCGTTCAGACTGAGCTTGAACTCACTATGTAGACAAAGTTAATCTTGAACTTGCAGTTATCCTCCTGCCTCAGCCTCCCCAGTGCTGGGATTACAATGAATATTTAGTCCATTCATTTTAATATGTTTACATTTATTTAAATTTGTATTTAAAGGAAAAATAGGCAGAAAAAAACACAAAAATTGAGGTTAGACTTAAATCTAAACATAAAGTAAACACATTAAAAGCAAATGGGCTAAATAGTAATTTAGACAACAATATATTTCTCTTTTATATGCAGTTTACTTCAGTTTATATATTTCACTTTATCTCTAGAAAATTTCTACTTTAACCTATGCTTTATCATGCACTATGAATTATACACACAACATTGAGTTGATATCCTCTAAATTGTTTACTGGTTAAAGCTTATGAAGAATAGTTTAGAAAAGATAACTTTCTACTGTGGGAAGACAACTTTTGAATGTAGAAAGGAACACAAATTCAAGACAGATATAAAATATTTATCCAAGTTATGAAGGTGGTATTACAGCCAGGAATGCAGATTTCTGAACTATTAAGTTTCTAGTGTTGTAGCTTTATTGAATTAATGTAGTCACACATTGATTGTCTTTGATTTTGTTTGAAAAGTACGAACTTGAACTATCTCAAAAATCTGGGAATTTTCTGATTTCATAAGCATTCTGAGCAGTAGTTCTAACCTAACTCAGACATTATTTTCCATGAATCTGGGAGCAGTTCTCAGACATGTTTACATTGTGAAAAAATAATTGTTTTTTAACTTCCAGTTGAGACTGGTGCATTAAATATTTTATTTCATTATTTAAAAAAAATTTCCTAAATAAGTTAATGGATGCTAAATTATGACTACTGGTCAGGCTTTATTCTGAGAAAAGAAGTTAGAAGTGAAACTATTTTGACTTTAATACACATGAATTTTACTATTTTGATTTATTGTTATTTTTTGTCTAAGAACTTTATGAGAAAACTGATTTGTTTTTAGTGCTGCTATTGAATGACAATAATTATTATTGTTATTCTTATCCATAGTATAAATTCAATTAAAATATTTTCTTTTTAACAGACAAGAAGTAAACATCCCAACATATGTTAACTCCATTTCAAGTAAGAATTTCAGTGTTTGAAGTTCAATGTTTCTTACATTTGAAAGTAACTTCAATAACCAATGACTAGTATCTTGTGTTAAATCTCACAAATCGAAAACTACTCTGAATTGCTGTTAAAATTAGTAGAAGTGAATATATGAATACCAATATCTATAACTTGATATGTGTATGTGTGTATGTATGTGTATAAAATATTTCTAACTGTGAGGTGGATTTCTATTAGCTCATTTAAAATAAAACATTTATTGTTTGTTCTTCCTCCTTACAATACAAATCAACTGTCTTTGTATAAGTTCCCCTTGCTCAAAATTAATCATTATAAAGTACAAAATGGAAAATGCAGACAGATCAAAGTAGTTACTGAACAGTAAATTTGTTGAATAGCTGCAACTTTAGGAAAGTTATCCTTAATGTATTGAGTGGAAATATGCCTACAATGATGCAAATTAGCCCATTGGCTCTAGCTTTCACTCCGAAATTATGTAAAGAAGTTTGTAATGTTGCGATTTAGAGTATGGATTCTTTATGTAAATCTTAACTCTGTTACTCACTAGCTTTATGATTTGGAGCAAATAATTTAAGCTCTGCTAGTGTTTCATTTTTTTAACATCTGCAAAATGAAGGTAATTGTACTATCCAAAGAATTTTTCTACGGATTAATTGAGTCAATATCTATATTGGGCTTAGAACATGTTCTGACATGTAGTAAATATTACATCAGTGTTAGCAGTTACACATATACTCTTATTATTACTACTCTCTCATATCTTTAAATCTTTAAATAACTTTAAATATCTTTAAATAACTGAATGAAGTCATCATATTTCTCATTAATCTCTTCATCTCCAGAAGAACTATATTGAATTTCTTCTTCAGTTCCTCTTTTGACACATTTGACAGATATAGTTTGGTCTTTCTGATTATTCCATTGTGTATGTCCTCAAATATGTGTATGCTACTCTGTAAATAGAATTTTAAGAACTTAATTGGATCTGTGGCCTTAATTTCTGTGGCTAATGATGACACTGAATTTAAATAGGAGTTAATATATACACTCATTTAATCTATCAAGACTTTTACTAGTTATGCTTAACATTGTGCTAGTTATTATTGGGAACTACAGAATAAATAATCATATTACCATCAATCTAACCAAAGCAATATAATAAAAAGGATCAAAGACACAAAAGATAAAGGAGGCATTTAATAGGACACAGTGAATATTTCTCTAGTTTTCATTTCTTATGTTTGATTATAGTATTTTAAAATTATGGTTTAGTAACTTCATGAAAATTGACTTGACATAGAAAATAAAATAACAATATTAATTTAAGCATAATTCTATGTTAAATAGGATTTTATTCTCCCTAATTGCTATACAAATTAACTACAAACATCAGAGAGAAAAGCTGTATTTTAAATTATAACAGTTAAATTTAAATGATACATTTCTTTTAAGAATATTTAAGTGCTAATGCAAGTCTAGCTATTAATTCGAAGTTGCTCATTGTCTTATCTCATTTTAGTCAATGAAACTAGCAGAAAATCATGCAATCTAGAACACTTTGCTTTGACATTTCTTGAACAACCCATGCCAGGTAGAAAAGAGAGATCAAGACATTCAGAATTACAAATCACAGTTCCTGTAAGTGTTCAAAAATTAGATGTAAGCTGTTTAAATTGGTACATTATACATAAATATAAAGGAGGTGTGTATAATTTTAACTTTACTATTCTATGTAGATTGTTTCCACTTATTTCAGACTCAAATTTATTTGCACCTTATATGCCCCTTTAAATTAATATATAGCATTGTATAAGCAAACTAGAGAGACTAATGTTGCAACTGGTAGTACCAATTGGACAATGTTTACCAGTTGCAAAAAGATTTAAAATTTGAATCTTAGAGTAGGAGTTAATCTTACATTTTCAGGGCCACTCCATTTGCTTTAATATGAAGTTGAGGATACTTGACACTAAGAGAATCCATTTTTATTGCATTTATAAAGTAGAGTAATAATATTAATTAGCATGAAGAAAAATAGCATATATGGGTCACTTATTTTAATTTCAAAATATTTTGAAAACATCTTCCAAACAGTGTTGCACTCAATGCACTTATTCAAGGGCATGCATCATTTCTGTACTGATTCAGGTTATACACTTCTCTTCATGTTCCTTCTTCAAGTCCATATAAACATCTCATTTGTAGAATCTCTAGTATATAGTTGAAAGGATAGAAGAAACAAATATAAAATCAGTCTTTGTGGTCACATTTACAACTGATTTGACGAACATTTGACAATAAATTACACTATTGCTACACAAATTAACTTAGATCAAATACGCATTTGTTTTCATTTTATGTCCTTGTTTTTTGCTATACTTCACAGTGTGGTATTAGGTTCTCAATCTGGTCAAACAACCTTAGAGCAGCATAAAATAGGTTAGACCTGAAGACTGAAACTAGCACATGAATTGTCATTAGAAACTTTAAAGGGATCATCTTTCTGGCTAATTTGGAGAAGAAAGGTGTGGAAAGTGTTCCAAGTAGAGTTCCAAAAGCCAAAACAAGACAACAGTTGATTGTTAAGTACAAGCCCTAGAATATAATGGATCATTGTGAGTCTGCTCCAATCCTAATATGAATCAAGGGGACTATAAAGTTTCCACTAGAGCCACATTATTTCCAAGGTAGAATTAACACACATACACACAAAGAAAAACTTTGACAAAGAAAAAATTATTATCCAATTTTAAACAGGTGCTTATGAAGAGCAACCTATTTTAGATAGAAATAAACAAATATAACTCATTCACAAATACTTATCATTACTCTATCTAATCTTTACAGAGGCAAGCCAATGAAAAAATAGAAGAAGGTAATAAGCCAGCTCGTATGTGGATAAGACATTCTTTAAATTTTTTTTCAAATGGCCATCCATTTACCTAACTTTCCAAATACAGGCTCCATCTAGACATCCTTATTATTCCCAAATCCATCCTACAGAGGCAGAAACTAAGAAGTTCTCAAATGATATAAAAGCAGCTTTGAGGAAAGACTCCAAGAAAAAAACAAATCCACATATGACAAATCCAGAATCCAAAAAAATAGTAAAAGATGATAAACCTCAAAGAAGAAATAAAGGAGATAAAATTCCATCAGAATCCTTAAAGGAAAGTGAACAGATTAAGATGTCAAAGTCCAAATCAAAAACAATTCCAGTATCCAAATATTCTAAAATGGTGTCAAACACTGTTTCAAAATGTAAGACAAATTCGGAGAATTCCAAGGAGTCAAATACAGATTCCATATGTAGAAAGAGCAATATCAATAAAGATTCTAAGACCTCTAAGAAAAATTCTGATATCCAATCAGAGACTTATTCAATAAATAGTTCAAATGTCGGTTTAATAATATATTTAGAAGAGTCTGTTGCTGAATCCATGGATTTTGACATATGGTTAAAGAATTACTCACACAACAATAAGAAGACGCCTGCAAAGAAAGACACAAAGAAGAGCTCAGATGCTGAATCTGGAGACTCAAAGGATGCAAATAAAGGTGCAAAGAAGGATCAGAAACCTTCAAAGAAAGATGACAAGAAAAAAGATGCAAAAAAGGACACAGAATCTACTGATGCTGAATCTGGAGAGTCAAAGGATGCAAAGAAAGGTGCAAAGAAGGATCAGAAACCTTCAAAGAAAGATGACAAAAAGAAAGATGCAAGAAAGGAGGCAGAATCTACAGATGCTGAATCTGGAGAATCAAAGGATACAAAAAAGAATACAAAAAAAGATAAGAAATCTTCAAAGAAAGATAGCAAGAAGAAAGATGAAAAAAATGGCACTGTTCCTACTGATTCTGAATCTGAATTAGAGTCAAAGAAGGGTAAGAAAGATGACCAAAAAGAAAAGAAAGATTCTAAAAAAAAATCCATCAAGAAAGACACAGCTTCTTCTGGTCCTGAGTCTGCATCTGAAGGAGATTCAAAAAAGGGTAAGAAAGCTGATAAAAGAAAGGATGCAAAAAAAGACTGCAGAGTCTACTGAAATTGAGTCTGACTTGGGGTCAAAGAAGGGTAAGAAGGAGTCAAAGAAGGAGAATAAAGGTTTAATGAAAAAGGCCAAGAAGGAACCAAAGAAGGACACAGAATCTATTGATGCTGAATCTGATGTCACTAAATAAAGCTCAAGCAAAAAAAGAGATTTGATGATTCAGACGCCAGATCTACAGATTCAAAGAAGGGAGTATGTGAAATAAAGAGAGGATTTAGAATGTCATTTAAAAAGATGAATTCAGTGAAAAAGGAAAAAGACCAAGTACAGGTAGAGTTCCTCCATCAAGAGAAAGTCCACCACTCTCTCCTTGTGAAGCTTTTCTACCGTTACCTAGGATCAAATGTCTCTGTCAGTGCAGAATGCCACCTCCACCTCCAAAACCAAGATATGCTCCTTTGGTATATATACTTCTGCTTGTTTTATAGGCCAAATCCTATTTTTAAATGAAATATTTTAAAACTTTAAAAGTATCCATTCTCTGAAAAGCTCTCTTGTAATATTGAAAAATTGAGACTTAGAGTTAAGAAAGATAAAGTGTACCTCAAAGTGTCTCAAAATACTAGAAAAGCAAATGTTGAAAATTTATGAAACCAACACACAAGCTTAAGTATTGCATGGCTTCTCTTATGTGGGAAATCCAAAATATTTTATACATAAAGAGCTAAATAAAAGATAACAGGAAACAAGGAGATAGATATTTTGCAAAAAGAAAAGGTTCAAGAAATGGAGGGAGAGGAGGGGAAGGAAATAAAAAATAATTGAGATATGCTATGTATATGTATCAACTCCCCATGAGAAATGTAATCATTATGTACTGTAAATAGGTACTAATAAAAATAAAAATTGAAAAAATGTAAGAGATCTAGAGTTATTTTGACTACAGCATAGAGCTCTGTAACTTCTGCTTATGAATTATTTTAAATTATAAGGTCATTTTACAAAAATGGTTATTCTACATACAGAAAAAAACAAAAATTAACGAAAACTTGTACAAGGGTGGACTTAAGTAAGATATAAAGATATTATCTGAGAAATTAGTAAATACAGCAAATATAAATTAATTAAAATCTAGACATGATAGAAAGAAAACATAAGATTCAGGTGTGCAAAATTTGTTATTTAACCTAAATATGAACTAAACTGTTTAAGAGTCCTTATCTTTGCTGATACCATAAAACAAAAATTAACTTTCCAAAAATTAGTAGATCTAATTTGATTTCCATCAGTTTCTCTCAAATTTACTCCATCTCCTTTAGGGTAATTATTCTCAAATTATAACTTGTATTTTTCTCTTTTTTTCGCTTAAATTCTTTTATTGGTACATTTTAAGTAAACAATACATTTACATTTATCATTGGGTGCTTGTACCTGTACATGAAATATCCTGGTTCTTGTTTTTTTTCCCCATTAGCTGTGCTCCCTTTCCTATTTACATAGACTTTGTTTCCATGTTTTCTCTTTTATCATAAATTTTCCTTTCCCTTCTTTCCTTTCCCCTTACCCTCCCACCTCCCCTACCCCTTTGGAACTTTTCTTCCTATTTGAAATTATCAATTATACATTTTAATCCTTTTAATCCTTATTTACACTTTCAGTTTCTCACACTAGAGAAATGATTGGGTATTTACACATGTGTCCTATTTATTTCACTTATGAGTGTGGCCTCAATATGCATCCATTTAGCTATAAATGACTCTAGTTTCTCATTCTTTATGGCTGAGTGTACTCTATTTTATAAAAAAAAAAAACCACCCAATATCTTTATCCAGTTTCCAGTTGATGGGAACTTAGGCTGTTGCCAAGCTTTAGCTATTACAAACTGTGCTGTTATAAACATGGGTACACATTTATCACTGTGGTATGATTCTTTTAATTCTTTTGGGAAGATCCCCAGCAGGGGAATAGCTGGGTCAAATGGGACCTCTAGTACTAGTTCTTTGGGGTATCTCCATACTGATTTCCACAGTGGTTGAACCAGTCTGAACTCCCACCAACAATAGAGAAGTGTTCCTTTCTCCTCAAAACTCTGCCAGCATTTGTTATTGGTTGATGTCTTGATAGCAGCCATTCTTTCTGGGGTGAGGGAGAATCTCAGTGTTGTTTTCATCTGCATCTCTCAAATGACCAGTGATCTTGAACATTTTTTAATATATTTATTTGGTGCTTTTACTTCTTTCTCTGAGAAATGTCTGTTCATTTCAGATGCCCATTTTTTAATTGGGTTGTTTTATTTGGGGGTCTGATTTTTTTTCATTTCTTTATATATTCTAGATAGTCCTTTGTCTAAGGTACAGCTGCTAAAAATTTTTTTCCAGACTGTAGGTTGTCTCTTATCTCTGTTGGTGGTTTCTCTTGCAGTGCAGAAGCTTTTTAATAAGATGAGATCCCAGTTGTTGATTCATTGTGCTAGTCCCTGTGATACTGAGGTTTTGTTCATAAAGTCTTTTCCTATGCCAGTGTCTTTAAGGGTTCTACCTAAATTATATTACAGCAAGTTTAGTGTTTCTGTCTTAATATTTAGATCTTTAATCCACTTCAGTCTTAGCTTAGCACACGGTGACAGGTATGGGTCTAGTTTTTATCTTTGGCAGGTTGAAATGCAGTTTTTCCAACACCATTTATTAAAAAGGCAATATTTCCTCCAATGAGGGTGGTTGGCTCCTTTGTCAGAGATGAGGTGGCTGAGTACGTCTGGAGTTGTTACTGCATCTTCCAATCTATTCCACTGATCCGCAGGTCTGTGTCTTTGCCAGTACCATGCTCTTTTTATCAGAGTAGCTTTGCAGTATACTTTCAAGTTGGGTATTGTGATACCCCCAGCCATGTCTCTGTTGCCTAGAATTGCTTATGCTATTCTAGGTTTCTTCTGGTTCCAAATAAATTTTTGGATTGTAATCTCTAGTTCTGTGAAGTATATTGTTGGAATTTCAATTGGCATTGCATTAAATCTATACAGTAGTTTTGGAAGTAGGGCAATTTTCACTATATTGGTTCTTCCTGCACAGGAACAAGGGCTGTCTTTCCATTTTCCTACATCCTCCTCGATCTCCTTTTTCAGAATTGTGCATTTTTCAGTGTAGAGTTATTTTGCTTCCTTTGTTAGATTGATTCCAGATATTGCGTTTATTTGGATGCTATTGTAAAAGGAACTGTTTCCCTAATTTCTCGGTCATTGAGTCTGCTATTTGTGTACAAGAAAGCTATTGTATTTTTGAATGTTGACCTTCTATCCAGCTACAGTTCTCAATCTGTCAATTAAGTCTAGAAGTCTTTTGGCTGAGGTTTTTGGGTATTCTGCGTAAAGTATCAGATCATCAGCAAATAATGACAGTTTAATTTCTTCCTTTCCACCTTTATTCCTTTAATTTTTTTTTCTCTTTTCAAATTGCTGTGGCTAATTTTCCCAGAACTATATTGAAGGGGAGTGGTGAGAGGGGGAATCCTTGCCTTGTTCCTGATTTTAGCATGAATGTTTTAAGTTTTTGACCATTTAGTATGGTGTTGGCTGTTGGTTTTTCATAGATAGCCTTAATTAGGTTGAGATAAAGACATTCTATTCCAATTTTCTGTAGGATTTTTATCATAAATGGGAGTAGGATTTTGTCAAATCCTTTTTCTGTATCTATTGAGATGATCATATGGTTTTTGTCCTTGACTGTATTAATATAGTGTATTACATTTATAGATTTATGCATGTTGAACCATCCCTGCATCCCTGGGATAAATCCAACTTGGTCAGGGTGTATGATCTTCTTGATGACCCTCTGTATTCTGTTTGCCAGTATCTTGTTGAGGATTTTTGCATCTATGTTCATTAGGGAGATTGGCCTGAGTTCTCTTTTAGGGTTTGGTCTTTCCCTGGTTTAGGAATCAAAATAACATTTGCTTCCAGGTATGAATTTGGAAGCATTGCTTCCCTTTCAATTTCCTTGATGAGTTTAAAGAGTAATGGTGTTAGTTCTTCCTTAAATGTCTTGTAGAATTCAGCAGTGAAGCCATCAGGACCTGGGCTTTTCTTTGTTGGTAAAATTTTTATTACATTTCCAATTTCACTGATTGTAATTGGGGTGTTTAGAATTTCTATAGCTTCTTCATTTAACTTGGGCAATTCATATGTATCTAGGAATCTGTCCATTTCTTCTGTTTTCCATTTTATTTGAGTACAGGTTCTTGAAGTAGGTATTGATGATCCTCTGGATTTCTGCTGGGTCTGTTGTGGCTTCACCTTTTTCATTCTTAATTGCATGGATTTGAGCCTTTTCTTTCCTTTTTTTGATAAGGTTGTCTAAAGGTTTATCAATTTTATTTATTCTTTCAAAAAACCAACTCTTTGATTCATTAATTTTCTGTGTCGTTCTCTTAGTCTCCATTGCAATGATTTCTGCTCTGATCCTTATAATGTCCTCTCTTGTATGTGCTTTGGGTTTCCTTTGCTCTTCTTTTTTGCGCTTCTGCATTAGGTTATTTATCCGAGTTCTCTCTGTTATCCTAATATGGGCATTCATTGCTATGAATTTCCCAGGTAGAACTGCTTTCATTGTGTCCCATAGATTCCTGTATGTTGTACTGGCATTATCATTCACATGTAGAAACTGTCTAATTTCTTCTTTAATTTCCTCTGTGACCCATTGGTTATTCAGGAAGGTGTCATTCATTTTCCATGTGTTTGTGGGAGTTTTGAAGTTTCTTATTTTATTGATCTCCAATTTTATTGCATTATGGTCTGATAATACAGGGGGCAACTTCAATTATTTTACATTTACTTAGACATGTCCTATGAGCTAGCATGTAGTCTATTTTGGAGAATGACCCATGTGCAGCCAAAAAGAATGTGTATTCTGATTTTGTGGGATGGAACACTCTGTAAACATCTATGAAGTCCATTTGTTCAATAGCTTGGTTCTGTTGTAGAATTTCGTTGGTAATTATTTGTCTAGATGATCTGTCAATTTGTGATAGTGAGGTACTGAGGTCCCCCACTACAATTGTATTAGTGATTATTTGGCTTTTCATGTCCTTTAATATTTGTTTTGTATAGTTAGGGGCATTCCTATTTGGTGCATATATATTTCGGATTGTCATCTCTTCCTCTTGGGTTGTTCCCTTCACAAGGATGTAATGACCATCTTTGTCTATCTTAATTAGTTTTGGTTTGTAATCTATTTTGTCTGCAAATAAGATTGCTACCCCTGCTTTTTTCTGGGTTCCTGTTATGTGGGAATTGTTTTCCATCCATTTACTTTAAGTCCATGAATTTCTTTTTTGTGTTAGGTGTGTTTCTTGTATACAGCATATGACTGGATTTTGCTTCTTAATCCATTCTGCCAGTCAATTACTTTTGATTGGTGAATTGAGGCCATTAACATTGAAAGTTATAAATGATAGATATTGACTCATC